TTCTTTCTGTCCCATGCTTCCCTCCTTCCCTCTTTCCCCCTTCCTCCCTTTCTTACCTTCTTTCCCTTCCCTCCCTTCCTTCCCTTCTTTCCTTTCCCCTTTTATCCAGTTGTTAATTCACTCTTCAGAAATGTATTGTGCATCCATTATGTACCAAGGACTGCGTGAGGTCTTAGGAAGACTTAGATGAAAATATTAGCATCTCTAAGGAACTTACAAGATAGTTGACTTCATGAATTGCCTTGTAATTCAATTTGATGAATTTTTCAAAGCAGGTGCATCCATGAGACAGCACACAGATCAAGAAACAGTACCAAAGACCCAGAAACTCCTTCCTCTTTCTCATCAGTATTCCAGTAGTTTCCAATTTAAGGCTGTTGGGAATAGCATTACTGTGGGTCCACTGGTGCATTTTTTTTTGCACACATATAGGTATTTCTGTTGATTATATACCTACTCAGAAATTACTGGTTCATAGGGACGTTTGTGCTCAGTGTTCATAGGTGCTATCAAATAACAGAAACAAGCAGGTACACTGTTTTACATTCCCACTAGCTGTGTATTAGTGATTCAGTTCAACACCTTGGCAACACATGGTGATTTCATTTTATTTATTTTTACCCCACTTTTAGTCAGGCTTCTGGAAGTATAATCACCATATGTGACTTTCACTGAGTTTTGACAAATATATACAGTCGTATAATCACCACCAAAGTATAGATTTTATCTATCACACCAACATGTTCCTTCAAGTCCCTGGAAGTTAATTCCATCTGCTTCTCCCAACAATTTATAACTCATCTCCTTTCCATCCCTATTGTTTCCCTTTCCCAGAAAGTCAGATACATTCAATTCTACAGTATACAGCCTTTTGAGTGGAGTTCTATGCACACAGCACAGTGCTTCTGGGATTCATCCGGAATGTGTCAGTAGTACATTCCTACACGTAATAACATATGCTGTTCCATTTTATGGATATACCATGATATGGTTATCCATTCTCCAAGTAAAGCAGATTTGGGCTGTTTATAGATTTGGGGCAATTATAAATTAACCTCTACAAATATTCTTATGCAGATTTGTGTGAATATATATTTTTTGTTCTCTTGGGTAAATGTCTAGGAGTTGAATTGCCGAGTCATAAAGCAGTCCATAGTTAACTTTATAAAAAATTGTTTTCCAAAAAAGCTACATTTTTTTATTCACACTGGTGATAACTGACAATTCAGTTGCTCTGCATTTTTGCTAAAATATGACATTGCTAGTAATTTTAATATTATGTATTCTAATTGATATGTAGTAATGTCTTGTTTTAATTGGATTTCTCTAAAGACAGGATTTTATGCAACTTTTAATATGTTTATTTGCATCTATATACATTCTTTGGTGAAGTGTCTCTTCAGATCATTTGTCACATTTTTATTAGCTTATATTTATTGTTCCACTTTTTAAAAATATTCTAGATACAAATCAATTGTCAGATATGTGATTTACAAATACTTTTTTACCAGCTTCTGGCTTATCTTTTATTTTATTTAAAATTTTAATGATGCCCAATTCATTTTCACAAAACATAAGGTCACATATATTTTCTGTCAAGTGTTCTTCAAAATGTTTTATAATTTTGTATTTTACATTTAGGTTTCTGATTCATTTTGAGTTTGCTTCTGTGTAAAGTGTGAGGTATATGTTGTGGGTCATTATTTTGGCCTGTAGAAATCCAATTATTCCAGCACTGTCTGTTGAGAAGACAATTATTTCTTCAGTGCATTGCCTTTGCCACGTTATGAAAAGTCAATTGACATTTTTGTGTGGGCTTCTTTCTTGTCTCTCCATTCTGCCCCATTGATGTAATTGTCTCCCCTTTGGTGAATACCATACTTCCTTGATTAATGTAGTTTTATAGGCAAGTCTTGAAATTGAGTAGTGTGAGCCCTCAGACACTGTATTCTCTTCCTCAGAATTGTCTTGTCTAGTCTATATTTCTTTGCTTCTTCATGTAAGTTTTAAAATCAGATGATCAATTACAGAAAAAAACTTGCTATTATGTTGATTGCATTTACGTTAAATCTGTAAATCAAAGAGCAGAATATTGACATCTTAATATTTAATCCATAATCTGTACATCAAAGAGTAGAAAATTGACATCTTAATATTTAATCCATAATCTGTACATCAAAGAGTAGAAAATTGACATCTTAATATTTAATCCATGAACATTGTTTACCTTTAAATGTATTTATATCTTCTTTGACTTCTTTTATTAGTGT